GGAGTGTAGAGTAGACTATACGCATTACACTGTTACACATCTACTATACAGTATACACTGTAGTGACTACTACTCGACCACGCTGTCCACTATGTCTAAGCCAATCACATCGCTAGCTTCCCTTGACGTCACACAGATCTCGCGAGCAGTTGCGATATTTTGCGAGACTTCGTGAGTTCAGTAATGGCCGCCATATCAGAAGCCGACACAATGTTTTTCGTCTTTTCTCAGCGCAAATTTCTCGATCTATGGAAGGTTTTAGATGGTTTATAACAAAAAGGAGAATATACGTAAGTGCTAGTTTTTTTGCGAGTCCAAGTACCGGTTCCCGATGTTCCGGTTTTAACCGGACTTGAACCGAAACTTTTTACAAGTCCAGTACCGGTTCGGCGTACCGGTACGCAGCACAACACATGACTCAGTCGGTGGAGCCATTCTCAGGTGTCTCTATACAGATGAGGTGCAGAGTATATAACTGCACTTCAGCTCTAAATGTGTAGTATATGCAATGTTGTGTGAAAAGTGAATTTTAAAGAAGAAAAAAGCTTTCTTCAGAAATGTCTTTAAAATGTTTTTGACTAAGATTACAGCTGTTGCTGCCCTGACACTTCATTTTCCCTTTGCTTTATCTTATCCTATCTTAAAGTGATTTAATTGGAAGATGATGCTCTCCTGACCGAGTCTCCCAGCTGTTTGATGTCCAACACCACCGCGTCTGTGTTCTTCTCCAGCTCCCCCGCCTGGGCCTTCATCACAGCTGACTTGTTTCTCCAGCCTTGAAACTGAGTCTGTTGAAAGATGAAATATATTCTTTGGACAAGCTCTTTGAAGGAAAAAAACGTACACAACTTTCACAAAATGACACAAAAAAATTATTTGATCCATTGTTTATGTTTATTTGCAAATATTAATGGGTGGCTTCAACTTGTCTTTGATGCATATTATTTTGTTCTTGCATGTCATGAGCGTATGAACCTGCAGTCGTAGAGCAGTGTAGTTGTAGTATTTGAGCCTGTCGTTGGCTGCAGCCCCGGAGGAGATGTTCAGCACTGCCACTTTCAGCTGGTCCAGCGTCTTATTGGACTGCCGCAAGTCTCCAATCAGATGCCAAATGCACTCATCACAACCTGAAAGCACAGAGTCATTGCAGTACCACAGCACAGTTATGGTGTGTTACAATTTACATCATGTGGTCTTTTGTTGGGGGCTGTAGTGGTGTTTCCTGCAGTCACTTACTGATGTTGCACAGGTTGACAGCAGCCTCTGACAGGCACTCTCCTGTATGCATATCACAGTGTCCGCTCTCACAGTCACACTCTGTGAACACAAACAGCTGAGCGTCACCACAGAGGAAAGACAGAAAGTATTGCGGAACAGGTACAGTAACCACACACAGATGGCTCGTTGGCCTGAGTCCTGCACATCTGTCTTGTGGCTTCTCTTGTGTGGGACTGATGCTTTTAGCAGCTGTGTGTGTGTGTGTGGGAAGGGAACATGAGTACTCAGCGAGGCCTTTCCTCTGGGAAAGCGTTATCTGCAGTTAATTTTTCGACAAATGGTGTTTATTCAGGAGAACCAAAAAGGTTTGACACACAGTATGACGGACAGATGCCTTACTCTGGCAGCCAGAGGGGATATAGTCCCAGTAGCCGGGGAGGCAACGCTCACAGTAACGGCCCCCGGCCCCCGGGCGGCACGGGCAGCTGTGGGTGAGGGGGTGGCAGGTGGGGCGGAGGGAGGCCGGCCCGCATTCACACCTTCGACAGCCCTGACAGCTGGAGAAACCAGAGTAGCCCTCCTAGAGTACATGAAGAAAAGCGCGGTCAGACAATCACACAGGCTGTCGTTATAGTCTCCAGCTCATAGGGTCCTGTTGTGAACCCGGAAATGTTCAGTACCAAAAGTTTTATGTTAGAAAAAAGTGTAAGACATGCAGCTGCAGAAAGTGCATACAAATCAACTTTGGAGATAACAAAACAGTCCACGAGGACATTCATAAAACGTTATAAAGTATTAATAAACGGTACAGACATTGGGGACAAATTAAGTTTGAACTGGTGCATATTGATAGCTATTTGTGTTTTGTTTATTGTTCCATTAAAATAATGTATTCATTTGTGTTGTTTGGATTTGCTTTCTCTTGCATGTGTTCAATGTTTCGTGAGCATTAGAGCATTTCCGAACATTTTAAGTAATTAGACCAGTGTTGACTTTGTTGACTTTGTTGTGTTGACTTTGACCAATTTTTACAAAATGACCCCAAAAAGGAAATCTATTGCTGTCAAAAATAGGTTTTTAATTCATCAAATCGTCTGAAAATTATAGGGGTGGTTCAATACTATGCTCTTAACGATTAAAATACATTTGAAGTAATTTCATTGAATTATGGGTGTTTTATTGTATTTTATAACACCTTAAGCCCTCTGGGGTCAAAAATGACCCCGCAGGACAAAGTGGAGCAATGGGGCACATTTTTTCAGCATAATGCTGCAACAACCCCCTGGCTGCTCCTCGGAGCACACACACACACACACACACACACACACACACACACACACACGCACGCACGCACGCACACACACACACACACACACACACACACACACGCACACACGACACACACACACACACACTTTTGATGTATAGGATCAAGCAATTTTTAGATCAACAAAA